CGCCCTCGGCCTCTGCGGACTCACCGACAGCGGCGGGTGAGACGTCGTTCTCATCGTCACCTCCCTGATCTGCCTCGTCGTTCGTTACCATCGCCAATACTTCCGAAAAGTGCTCCTTGAGGTCGTCTATCGTAGGGCGATGCCTGTTACTCCGAAGTTTGCCATCACTCACTAGGTACGGGATGTCGTCCTTGACCTGCAAGTGCACGAATCCCTGCTTTGGCGTAACCATGAAAAGTAGTTTACCAGGCATCCAGTGAAATGCATAACCCATCTTCATGCATCTCCTCCCCACTGACAATACCGTGGGTGTCTCATCCAATACATGCGGCTCGACTGTCTCGTCCAACTCGTCCACGACTATCTTGGCCACATCAGATGTGGAAGTGGAACCATTCGCGGTCTGGAACACGATCTCGTCGTCATCTTTCACGATGTCGACACCCAGGCTCTTCGCCTTGGCTCTTCCACTGAGATCATGACCACATCCGGTGTCCATCAACCATTTCACCCGTTTGCTGATGCACGTTGACATGGCGAAAACGTTCTTCGGCATACCATGCTGCTTCTTCCAGTCGACAGCCGATTCCTTGATCTCGTCCTTGTTCCGATCATACTCGAACATTATGCTGCTTTCCTTGGTCACCGGGAAGTAGTGCTTCTTATATATATCATCCACCACTTCTCTCAGTATCCTCGCACGTATCAATGATCGTTGGACTTGATAGGCTGATAATTCACGATGATCACTGCTTTTGAACTTCTTCTCGTCGACGTACACGTACTGATAACGCTCACTCTCATTGTCCTCATAACCGTACCATTCCCCTTTTCGTTCCCATTGCCTTCTCTCGTCTTCGAGGTAGGTGATCTCCCCATTCTCGTCGACGTCGAGCACTTCCTTGAACCACACCATTTTCTCGGGGATCTCGGACTCGCCAGACCATCTCGATGATTCGCTCATCGCATCGTCATCGTGCTCGTGGTAGACCGTCTCGGCTTCATCCGGTTCGACCTGATCAACGTCCTTCTTGAAGCTTACCTTCCCTGCAGGAGCCGATTGCTTCAGGACTATCGCGGGCATTGCGATGGCCCTCCTCGCAATGGCAGGCGCTGCGGCTTTGGCGGCAGCCTTCGACGTGGCTTGCGCCTTGTCATTTGACGTTGCTGGAGCTGAATTGTTCTTGATGAGCTCATGCCTGTACTTACAAGCGCTTCCCCTATCGCACTTCCCCTTCTGAAACGCGAAGCATGCTCCATCATCCCTCTTTGGTGACGATGATCTGGACTTGGATTTGCCCTTACCTTTCCCCTTGGACATGCTCTCCAACTTATGCTCCGTCTTCTTGCTGTGGGAAAAAGTGCATTCATTCCCTTTCACGCACCCCTTCGCCGATTTGAAGTGGTACCAGCAGGGGTTATCCTTGCGTCCGCCCGGACTCTTGCCTCTGTCGCTGGCACCGTCGGACTTGCCGTTCTTGCCAGCGTGGTCCTTTGCCTTGGCTTTTGGGAGCACAGGAGCGGCATCAGGTCCACCGGGTTTCCCCTTTCTGCCCTTGCCACCCTGATTCTCCTGTTTGCCAGTTGCTGGAGCCGCATCCTTCCCGCCTGACTTCATCATCGACTTGACCGATTTCTCCTTCATGTCGAGCATCAGGTCTTCCCGATCTGCTTTGATCTGATAGTCGATCAACGCCAATAAGAATTCAT